GAGGATGTATTCAAACCCATAATCAAAGAAGTACAAAAAAATAAAGAGAACACCACAAGAACAATGATTTTTTGCCAAACCAGAAAACAATGCTTTCTTCTTTATCGTGTATTTAATGTTAATCTTGGACAGGACATGTAATGTGATAAAGAACTGGCTCCTGAAAGGCGATTTGTTGAAATGTTTCATGCAGGCACACCAGCCAGTGTGAAATCCCATGTTGTAAATGAAATGGGGAATACTTATAATCATCTTAGAATACTAATCTGTACAAGTGCTTTTGGAATGGGGATCAACTGCAAGGGCCTTTATAGGAGCATTTATTTTGGACCACTAGACACACTGGAAACTTTAATTCAAGAAACTGGTCGTCTTGGTCGGGATTGTGTTGATTCTATTTCGTATGTGTTATGTAATGGTCTTCTAACAAGTCGCTGTGACTACAAGGTTAAACAACTAGTGCAAATTGAAACATGCCATAGGGAGGAGATTGGTCGCAATTTTTCAGCTTATTCGTCAGATAATGCACCAACTCTTTGTAAGTGTTGTGTTAAATGCTGCACAAAATGTGATTGCGGACCAAATTGTTCGAAAGGTGGGCTCCATTTAAATTTATTTGACATTAAGGAAACTTCAGAAGAATTCACCTATCAAAATAGTAGCGGTTGAATTCGAACAGTTTCTGAATGTGAGAGAACACTGTTGAGAACTACACTGGATTGTTTTAAGGATTCGATTAGATCAGCCAGTGGTGATTTCAAGCCTGTAAGTTGTGGCACTGTCTTGCATGAATTTGATAATCTTCAAGTACAGCAGCTGATAAATAACTGTGAAAAAATATTCACCTTTAGGGACATATTTAAATTAGCTGAGATTTGGTGTTAAATCATGCAAAAAAATATTGTCAATTTTTCAAGAGGTGTTTGAAGATATTGACATTACATTCAATGAAGTGGACTTTGAGGAAGAAGACTTTGAAGACATGGAAATTGTACACAATGATTGGAATGAGATGCAAGAAAATAATTCCTCATCAACACTTATGGAAGAACTTGATCAAACTGTCGATGAAAGTGAAATTTCAAATGTTCAAGTCGGAAACGAAAGTGACATAATAGCACCAATTAAGACTAATACATTTATATGTATGTTTAACAGTTATCGGGCACATTTTTTCATTAAATATTTTTCTTGTGTTCATTTATCCACCTATACATATCATGCATATCAAAGTTGGTTTGAAGACTGTCTGTGATGCCAACAAAATGTTGGTATTGTCGGCCAGGAGTGAGGGTTAGTGCTTGTTGTTCTGTTAGCTCACTGACAATCTTGAGCAAATCTGTCGATCTGATCTTCTGTAATGCTCCCCTGAAAGTTTCTTCAAGTTATTTACCCAGTCAAAATTGTCAAGTATCAACTTATTTACAGCAAGTCCTTTGCAATATCGATCAAGAGCTTTAGGATTGGAGGCATTAGGACCAAAGTTACGCATTACAGTTTTCACAAGTCTGTTGTAGTGTTGTAAGGCCAAGTCTAAAGGAAAGTTTCCTCCAGGCCCATTCTTTGTCTTGTAAAATCTATTCCACATCAAACGGTGAGCCGATCGTGGTGTGAGCAGTGCATTCAACTGACAGGCTATGTACAATGCCTCCAAAGCATATTTAGAACTACCTGTTCCCTCATGTTTCAGATATGGTAGAGCAAATTTCCAGCAACGAATTACACGGGCACCATCACCTTCTGATATTGCATCGTAGAAGTTTTGAATTAGTAGACCAATTTCCAGTAATGCTAGTTGATAATTTAACATGTCATCTTGTGGTGATGTGGATGAGTCAGTTTCAACAGGAATTGCTGTTGATATTCCATGTTTAGCTTCATGATCCCGCCTTGATTTCCCATCATACTTGAATGTTTTACCGCAGCCAGGGAAACGACACTTGTGTCTACCATCAGTTGTCAAGTGAGAAGCAGCTTCTCTCTCTTTGTCTTCAACACCTTGCTTCATCTTTAACAATTTTTTCATTCTTTCTTCGTTTAAGACGTACTGATCAACAATCTTTTGAGCAAGGGATTCAATGAATCTTCTCTTCTCCATATTTGGGCTGTCTGCGTTCAAATATGTAGGCAGGATGCTACTGTCTGGGAGACTGTCTACTGAATCAATTTTAAGAACTTTTAAAGCAGCAGCAATAACTCTCGCTTTAATGGTTAAGGAAAAGAAGCGTTTGCATGCATTTGCATGATTTGATATATCTTTGGAGACATTTTGTCTGTCTATTAGGGTACGGTCGCTGTACAAGGTACACTTGTCATTTTTCGATGTTGTGTGATAGAATGCACCATATGCAAGCTGCAATAAAAATAGATATAAATTTATATAAACAGGACATTAAATTGTTTATAAAATTGTAACAATTCAGTAGAAACACAACATAAATCTTATTTATTCTCTTAGGTCATAAGCTATTGTTTTAATATAATACTAGCATTTATTACCTCTAAGAATTTAACTTCAGCATGGAAGTCAGCAGCTTCGAAGTGTATTCCTTCTCGTCTTTCTTCTGCTGTGAATGCATTAGCTACTTCTAGTAAGCTGTTGACCCCTCGTTCTACAGTTAGCTGGTCTCCAACAACAGGTTGTTCAGCATACTTTTGTTTATTCTCAGCAACGTAAGTGGTACATACTGATGTAACTTCTTAATCACTTCTTGCATGCCCTCTGCTTTATTTTCATTTTCATAAATGATCCCAAGGAATGTCTAACCAAATACAACAAAAAGGGAAAACAGTTGGAATACAGCTATTTTGATATTCAGAAGGCATTCTTACAACCCTTTTATTTCAAAAGTATTCTCATGTTCAAAAAAACTAGTATCATATTAATTTAGAACCAATTGTTCATTGTAACAATGTTTGACAATGGATTAATACTGTTTAAATTTTACTGATTTTGTCATATTTTAACATCATGGTGTTGCTTTGAAATTATATTTATAAATATATTATTTATAATATATAGTGAAAACATAGAGTTAAGCACAAGTTTAATCTGTATCTATTGCACATATACAGTTCAATGGAAACCATTAGAAAATTATGTAATAGACTAAAAGAAAATAATTCACTCCAAGGCAAATAGCAATTGATCTCACCGTTTTCGTTTTTTGTTTTAATTCAACTTGAATACTGGTGCTGTATGTGTGATGGTGTTACATCTTTCAGGAAGTTCAGACAATGTATTTCCTCTGTAATATATTGAGATACAAGTACCACATAATCATTTCGCTGTTTACTATGATCCAGTTGACTTGTTAATACTTTCCCATTTGCCATATCCATGATATCTGCTATTGGCTTTTTATCACTAAGATGACACCCTGATACTCGGTTTTCTGTGCTCATATAGCTGCAGAAATGTAGATCCGGGTCCTTGTACGATTCAATCATGTTGTGTGTTGTTTGATGGTAGTCAATGTTATCAAGAACAATCTTTCGACCAACATCAACATTTACAATGGGATTAGCTTTTGCAAATTCCAGTGGTGGTGAAGAGGAAATTGGGTATAGGTTCTGAAGTCTCTCACATTCCTTGTCTACTTTATCCCCCTAATTTCAGCATCATGTTGCTTCCCATATTCATCTAACTTCTTGTAGTATGTTGTGTGTGATGGTCCAAGACATATTGCTTTAAGTCTTCTTATGATACCCTGAAAAATGTAAGAAATTAAGATATATAATAATTAATTCCATAGATCTAAATATGAATACTAATGCCACAGAATAAGGAAATGCGCTAATGCTGTAATTTTAAACATGGTGTTTATTGGTCAACTGGCTGATTTACTGATGACACTTACTGGGCCACCTGTTAAGATAAAAGTATTCAAATGTACATATCAACTGACAACTGTGACTGTGTATATTACCATAAATCCTGAATGTTGAAGAATGATAACCAGTGTGAGTTGAAATGCATAAAGATTTTGTGAACGATGATTTAAGCACACTGCTGCTGATACACCGACAGCGTTGATCCATCTTTTATCGCCATCATTTTGTGTTTTTTTCGGGTTAAATGATCCGGACTTAAGCAGAAGGTGGAAAACTGGAGCACGCTCTTTAAGTTCGTCACTGACCTTTTCAAGTGAGAACTTTGATATGTTATCTGGGTCATTTAAGCACAGACAACTTAGGGACTTCTTGGAGCATAATTTTGAACATTCTCTGTTCACTTCTTTTGATAGTTCCTTCAGAATATGCGGACGCAGAACTTTACTTTTCCACGCCGGCATTAGCAATTTGTCAAAACATTCCACGACATAACATTTTACCAAGAGAAACGAGCTCCTCTGAAACAATTTTCTCTTTATTTCCCCATGGCCATTGAACACGAACAGAAACTTTTGTTTCTGTAATTGGTCTATTACATTCTACTTCTCCGATATTCTGCCTTGACTCAGTTGACTGTGAAAGAATCGGTGTGCTCCATTGTGGTGTGCTCTTGAGGTGTACTCGAGTGTTTGGGAACAAAATTGAATGGAAGATACAGTGAAACCAAGTCGGAATTAGAGGAATTTAATCTTTTTCGAGGGATTCTTTAGTTTGCAGAGAATTCCATTTTCTCCTGCTCCTTTTCTATACTGAAGAATTAAATTCTCATCCACTTCCGCAAGTTTATCCTTCAATGCCCTTTGTTTCCTTACAACGCGAACGCAATTTTGGCAGATATAATCGGATGATTCGGTCACAACAAATGTAAGGTCTTCGAGCTCTACATGGATATTTGACTTTCCACGTACGTAGTTTCGATCACAATTGTTATATATGACTTTGAAGCACAAAATACACTGTGTGTGTGACATTAGTGAGATAACAGCTTTTGAAGCTTGCTTTTTAAATTGTAAACAAGTTAAATTAAGTTGTGGAATAATTAACATATTTAACTGAATTTCGTTACCATTCTTCTACCCGGCCTGGACAAGAATTCGTTCAAGTATTCACAGACCTTTATCTTTCCGGATATAGGTTTGTGTACAGGCTACATATTGGAGTAAGGCAAATTTCTCGTCACTGCGGTATTCTGCATTATCATTTGAATTGAACACAACTCTCTCATTCCACATCCCAGTATGACCAATAATGCACTTCAAAAAACACCGCGCAAGAGCATCGCAGCAAAAACACTTTAACCCAAATTTGAATTTCTTTTTCTCATACCAAATTCCACCACATTTTAGCTTGTCAAGCTCATTAAGAAAATCGGCAAGATACTCACCAACGGAATTAGGTTTGCTTTTGCCATAAAACAGGGCTATCACAAAGCCATCCAAGTTATTAAATCTACCCAAAATTGGCCAGAATTTACCACTAGTTGACTTAAATGGAGGATGACCATCAATATTGACCAACAGTTCAATGTCAGATAATCCCTCAACCATATTACGATTTTTCGTTAAATACATACATATACATATATATACATATATATATATATATATATATATATATATATATATATATATATATATAGATATATATATATATATATATATATATATATATATATACATATATATATATACATATATATATACATATATATATACATATATATATATACATATATATATACATATATATATACATATATATATATATATACATATATATATATATACATATGTATGTATGTATGTATGTATGTATGTACGTATGTATGTACGTATGTACGTATGTACGTATGTACGTATGTACGTATGTACGTATGTACGTATGTACGTATGTACGTATGTACGTATGTACGTATGTACGTATGTACGTATGTACGTATGTACGTATGTACGTATGTACGTATGTACGTATGTACGTATGTACGTTGTACGTATGTACGTATGTACGTATGTACGTATGTACGTATGTACGTATGTACGTATGTACGTATGTACGTATGTACGTATGTACGTATGTACGTATGTACGTATGTACGTATGTACGTATGTACGTATGTACGTATGTACGTATGTACGTATGTACGTATGTACGTATGTACGTATGTACGTATGTACGTATGTACGTATGTACGTATGTACGTATGTACGTATGTACGTATGTACGTATGTACGTATGTACGTATGTACGTATGTACGTATGTACGTATGTACGTATGTACGTATGTACGTATGTACGTATGTACGTATGTACGTATGTACGTATGTACGTATGTACGTATGTACGTATGTACGTATGTACGTATGTACGTATGTACGTATGTACGTATGTACGTATGTACGTATGTACGTATGTACGTATGTACGTATGTACGTATGTACGTATGTACGTATGTACGTATGTACGTATGTACGTATGTACGTATGTACGTATGTACGTATGTACGTATGTACGTATGTACGTATGTACGTATGTACGTATGTACGTATGTACGTATGTACGTATACGTACGTATGTACGTATGTACGTATGTACGTATGTACGTATGTACGTATGTACGTATGTACGTATGTACGTATGTACGTATGTACGATGTACGTATGTACGTATGTACGTATGTACGTATGTACGTATGTACGTATGTACGTATGTACGTATGTACGTATGTACGTATGTACGTATGTACGTATGTACGTATGTACGGTATGTACGTATGTACGTATGTACGTATGTACGTATGTACGTATGTACGTATGTACGTATGTACGTATGTACGTATGTACGTATGTACGTATGTACGTATGTACGTATGTACGTATGTACGTATGTACGTATGTACGTATGTACGTATGTACGTATGTACGTATGTACGTATGTACGTATGTACGTATGTACGTATGTACGTATGTACGTATGTACGTATGTACGTATGTACGTATGTACGTATGTACGTATGTACGTATGTACGTATGTACGTATGTACGTATGTACGTATGTACGTATGTACGTATGTACGTATGTACGTATGTACGTATGTACGTATGTACGTATGTACGTATGTACGTATGTACGTATGTACGTATGTACGTATGTACGTATGTACGTATGTATGTATGTATGTATGTATGTATGTATATAGATAGATAGATAGATAGATACTAGAAGTCTAATTAGAATTGCATATGATTACATTTGCATGGGATTTCAATCATATTACACAACATATGCAATTCTAATTAGATTTCGAGTATCTATCTATTTATCTGCGGCCAACGTTTTTGCAAACGGGTGTATATACATATATATATATACATATATATACATATATATATATATATATATACATATGTATACATATATATACATATATATACATATATATACATATACATACATATACATACATATACATACATATACATACATATACATACATATACATACATATACATACATACATATACACATATACATACATATACATACATATACATACAAATACATACATATACATACAAATACATACAAATACATAGAAATACATAGAAATACATAGATATACATGCATATACATGCATATACGTGCATATACATGCATATACATCCATACATTTCTCGTCCCGCGATATCCAACGAAACATAGGAAATTTGTGCAAATTGATGCATTATTTAATGTCAATTATAATTTATGTGTACCAAAAACATGGCGGCCAGCGAAGGGCTTATGAATAATAATTTCAAGAGGCTTTTGATTTCATTAAATATACATTCAATGTCCATAAACTTTATGACGACCAAGGGACCAGTCATTATTAATCCGGTTAGGGGGCTGGGGGAAATTTATGAAAACAGCAAAAACTTTTCATGACCCCTTAAATTTTTAAATTGTGCTTGAATACGCTCAATATCACATGCGTCAAGATGAGAAATTTGTCAAAAAGTATTTGACCGTGCAAAAACAGCCTTAATCAAGTCAACTAGACCAGCAAGCATTATAAAAACAATTCAACATGAATCATGTTGAATTGTTTTTATTTACATGATTGCTCTGATGAAGGCTTGCAGTTTACAGCCGATCCGAAATTTAAGTTGTATTTAACGCTTTAAACTTGGAATGTTTTTAACTAGATCAGTTTCAAAACTTAAATATTTTATCATGTACTCTACTGGTCGCCAGAATAGCATAATAGCAGCATATACATATATTCAATTTATTTTCAAGTGAGATTTGTTTAGAGGTTGCTTCAACAACAATTTAACCTTTGGCAGATAGCTGTTTGTCATCAAGCTTCAAGTTGTATCCTGCTTGGAATTAAATTGGATTATATATAGAATTCAGATTTTGTTCTTTAGTTCTTGTTGTTTTAGCTGGGGTAGAAAATAATTTGTACTATAGAAAAAAATAGTTTCAAGTGGAATTTGTTAAGAGGTTTTTTACTTTTATTTTAACAACAATCATTGGCAGATAACTGTTTGTCATCAGTAATAATTGAATTATATAGAATTCAGATTTTCTTCTTTTAGTTCAGGTTGTTTTACTTGGGGTATAAAATAATTTGTGTTGTTGAAATATATAGCTGTGCTGTTTTCAATACAAACTGAAATACATGTTTACTTTTTATTTTTTATTATGTCCACACTATGGTTGACTCCATTGGACCAATCCTGCGGTCATTTGTGTAAAACTCTTAACTTCTAAATTGTAGTGAACTCCAAAATTCACAATTCTTTTTAGCTAATTTCTTTCCTAACTATACTTATACATAACTGTTCTTTATACCACTGGCTCCGGCTCTACCTTTCTGATGTTAAACAAAGTAACAGAGTACAAAAGCAGCTATAGTATATCAAATTGTTACCATTGATTGAAAATCAAAACAACACATGCTAAGCACTTTTGCAACATGTTATCAAATTAAAATAAAATTATATTTGGTACTATATGCACATACAAAAGGATGAAACCATATAGAAATTATTACAAGCAATGGATTCCTAATGTGGTATGCCTCAAACAAATTATTAGTGAAAAACATGTAATGTCTCCGAATAATTTTATACCTCTGCCCTGATGTACAACTGAAACATTTTCACTGTTGCTAATAATTTTATTTTGTACAGGCTATATCACAATCATTGTCCACAGAGAAAGATAATAGATCAACACCTGGGTCTAGAACAATTAAGCCACTATTTAGAGCTGTTAATTACATTATTTTAGTTGCAGTAAGACATTCAAAGTTGTTTTTGATCAATCTACACATTTCTTTTTAGCTAATTTCTTGCCTAACTATACTTATATATACATAACTGTTCTTTATACCACTGGCTCTGGCTCTACCTTTCTGATGTTAAACAAAGTAACAGAGTAGACAAAAGTAGCTATAGTATATTAAATTGTTACCATTGATTGAAAATCAAAACAACACAATCACATGCTAAGCACTTTTGCAACATTTTATCAAATTAAAATAAAATTACATTTGGTACTATATGCACATATAAAAAGATGAAACCATATAGAAATTATTATTTATTACAACCAATGGATTCCAAATGTGGTATGCCTCAAACAAATAGTGAAAGACAATTTCTAATGTCTCCCCATAATTTTATTCCTCTGTCCTGATGTACAACTGAAACATTTTCATTATTGATAGTGTCTCCCCATAATTTTATTCCTCTGTCTCTGTTCAACTGAAATATTTTCATTATTGTTAGTAATTTTATTTTGTACAGGCTATATCACGATCATTGTCCACAGAGAAAGACAATAGATCAACACCTGGGTCTTTTAGTTATACATAAGTGTGCTTTATACCACTGGCTCCGGCTCTACCTTTCTGATCTAAAAGAAAGTAACAGAGTAGACAAAAGTACCTATAGTATATTAAATTTTTACCATTAATAGAAAATCGAAACAACACATGCTAAGCACTTTTGCAACATTTTATCAAATTAAAATAAAATTACATTTGGTACTATATGCACATATAAAAGGATGAAACCATATAGAAATTATTACAAGCAATGGATTCCAAATGTGGTATGCCTCAAACAAATAGTGAAAGACATGTGATGTCTCCCCATAATTTTATTCCTCGTCTCTGTACAACTGAAACATTTTCATCATTGTTAGTAATTTTATTTTGTACAGGCTATATCACAATCATTGTCCACAGAGAAAGATAATAGATCAACACCTGGTCTAGAACAATTAGGCCATTATTTAGAGCTGTTAATTACATTATTTTAGTCGCAGTAACACATTCAAAGTTGTTTTTGATCAATCTATACATTAGGGCCATTTATACGAGCGAAATAAATCGCGGCCTAAAACCATAAACCCAGCCCTTCGTACAGCTCGTCCAAAATAAGCCCCAGCTAATTTAAGTCGCGGCGACCACATCCTAAATTAAACATTGGTGTTCAGCATCAATTTAGACTGGAAAAATTGTCTTGGCGGCCGGGACTTGCGACAGCGAATTTC